TACTACTACTACTACTACTCTTCCTCCTCCTCCTCCTCCTCCTCCTCCTCCTCTTCTCTCTCTTCCTCCTCCTCCTCCTCCTCCTCCTCCTCCTCCTGCTGCTGCTGCTGCTGCTGCTGCTGCTGCTGCTGGTGCTGCTGCTGCTGCGACTAGTACTAGGGTCCGCCCCAAACGTTTGCCCAACATCTATGTCGCCAATGAGCCATTTGCTAGAGCATCGATGCCCGAACGATGATAAGCTCCGTGCTTCCAGGCCCGAACCGTCTCGAGAGCTGTGCTACCAGTGCATCCATTGGCCAGCACCCATGCCGAAGTGCCGAACGATCATAGCGTCCATGCTACCAAAGCAGCCATCGGCCAGAGCCACGTTCCAAGACTCGTGTGGGAACATGAACCTGCTGAAGACAGACAGTTTTTCTGCACTTCAGCGCTATTGAAAGTTAGGTTTTGGAATTTGCCGGGAAAGGCGGCTGTTTTGGAATTTCGAAAATTAGTTAAAATGCTAGCACAATGCTCGCATACTGCAAATTGCGATGAAATCACGCGTTCCAGAGGTGTCAGCCGCCTACCTCTTCAATGGAAAGCTCTCTTGTCACAACCCTGGGGCCTGTAGAGGGACACACACAGCGAGAACAGTCATGCTGGCTCTAGCCTAAACCCTAAGCCGTGTTGCAACTCTGAAGTTTCGTGATTCTTTCGGTGAACACCCTAAACCTCCGTTAACTGCAACCTGCCAATAACCTCGGGGCGAATGCTAATAATAAGTACGGTTACTACTAGTACTGCTATGGGCTTTGCGTTCGGATGGCTCTGAAACCGAGCTGAAGGCAACCTTGTCTTCACAGACGTCGAGTTTCCCTTACAATGGGAGCCTTATGACTTCTGGGAGAAGTACTACAGGCCGCGGTGGGAAGAGTGCACTATAGGAGCCTCAATAATTGTAATCGGGTTTTGGGGCCCACTAGATTATTTTTATAAAAAGGACTATTGGTAACTCTTTAGGCCCCTACATTGGATTCAGTGCTTGCCCTGGCTCAGGACGAAGTTTCTGTCTGAGTCTTCAGTTCTGGCATATGGGGGTGCCTGTCTGTCGTTGCGACCACGCTGCAGGTCGTTGAACAAGACGATCCCACACTTCAACGGCTCAAATCCGACCTTGCTGCTGCAAAGCGCACCTTGGGCGTGGCTCACGGTTTAGCAGCTGATTCCTCGGTCGGTTCTGGGCTGAGGAAATTCAAGTTAAGTATGTGGGCATGGGCATGCCAGGGGTGGGCCCGTGATGAGAGAGATGTTCGGCTGCCGCTCACGTATCTTCCTGTTGCTGATGCGGTTAGGTTTGCAGGCGCGTGTACTCGGACTCAAGCTTCACGTGTTGCCCATCGCGCTTGCAGTTCGCCAGCTCTGCCCAGGCAGCTGTGACCTATTCAGGGCTGGACGGCGAGGTGTACATCTGACCAGCGGTGAAGAAAACGAGCTGTTACGTTTGCATGACAGCAGCTGTGTGCCCTTGCCGTAGCACTGCAGATGCTTGATTTGTCTTCAGACTCCCCGCAGCCCATGGGACCTGAGCGCCGAGTGCTCTGAGGTCGACTTGCTATCCGCACCCATGCCTCAATCCTTCCAGCACATGCCCTGGCATGAGCAGGTGGGCTACGACAGTTCGCAAATGAGAAAGAACCGAGACGTAGGTGGAGGTTTGCGTCGTAGTAGGTCGGAATCCGTACTGATAAACGGGATATTCAACCTCCGAGCCTCAAAACTATAAGACAGAACCCCCATCGAACTCGATGTAAATCCATCCGGCTCGTGCAGAAGAAATCCGTCACCCTACAGCCCATCCCTAAACCGATTGGGTTGGCGAACAAAGACAAGCAATTTCTATTTAGTTTGTTTGAGGGTTTAGGGGCTTAGGGTTACAAGAGCTAAACCCCAACGCACAGCAACCCCTACACCCCAAGAAGCCCCAAAGCCACAAACCCCCGAAACCCCATAAGCCCCAAAGCTCCCAGAAACTGGAAGGCGCCTTTAATGTACCTGGGCCTGGTACCCGCCATTCTGGAGGGTCTCTCCGAGCAGACGCCTCGGGTAAGGGCCGACACAAATCGCTGGGGCTGGGGCTGCTGGGCTGGGCCTGCGACTGCGGGACTAAGGATGGTTGGGGCTGGGGCTACAAAAGTTGGGAAGACACGCAATTTCTATGTGTTTCCGGGTTTAGGATTCAGGGGTCAAGGTGTGGGGTTTAGGTCCAGGTGTTAGGGCTTGAGAGATGAGTTCCGTTAGGATAACACAGCGGCGCGAATGATTCGAACAGGGTTCTTCCGGCTTAAGGGCTCTATGAAAAAATGCTTCAGCAATTCGAACAGGATCTATTAAGGGTTCTCTTAGATTTGCAGGTACAGAAGACTACAATGATAACACGGATCATTAAGGAAATATTGCATTGAGGCTTCCATACTAAGTGCCTACAAGTCTTTAGGGATCTTTAGGGTTTATGGTGTAGCATTCCGAAATCTACAAGTGTTTAGGATTTAAGTTTGAAGGCGTGGGATTTACATGACTGGGTTCTCCTCAGGAGATATTTTCCTTTTTAACGATGTTGTAACCCGAAGAGGTTATTGAAATTGTTGTCATGTGTGTTTGTGTAGGGTCCGAAGGACGTATAGATGGTCGTGACAATCGAGATCCACAGGGGCTTTGAAGATTCGGTGTATGTTAGAGATAGGGATTCGCAGGGTTTAGGGTTTGGATGTTGAGTGTGCAATGTCCAGCGTTTGGACGTCGAGCGCCGAGTTTGAATGGCTGTAGAGCCATGGTATTCACTTACTCAATGACCCCGACGTGGTAGTACCAAGACCAAAGCAGACTGTCCGAGGCAGGCTGAGTTTTCGTTTTCGAGTAGCAACATAAAGCTAACCGTGGTGAGCTTGAGGTTTGGCGGGTCTAGACTAATTCGTAATTTTATCCCCTTCGAGTCCTTGTGCAATTAGTAACTAGAGTATTACATACCCGAATGGCCTATTCTAAACACCCTTACAGAACCCTCCAAGCAGCCCTTCGTCCTAGAACCCTCTAAAAGAACCCTTACCTACAGAACCCTTTGAAAGAGGCCTGAGAGGAAGCCAATTCTGCGTAGGCGATGCCCGTGCTTCGAGGCCTGAGCTTCACCAGACCCTTTCTGCCAGCTCCCCTCTCCCTGCAGGCCTGGGCTGGGATCTGGGGGTCAGGGTTGAGGGTTTGGGGATTGATTTTTGTAGCGGTTTGGGGGTTTGGGGCCGAGCCCGATTCTGCAGAATTTTACGGTTTTCAGTTGCAGAATCCTATGGTTTTGAGTTTAGTTTGGGGCGGGCTTGTAGGGCTGCCCGTTCTGATAGCAAGGAAACTATAAGAAAAAGGCTCTGCTTTTACGTCAGACGAAACGGCCTTGACATTCTGCTGGTTGAGGCTCGAAAGCCCTTTTGACCTCGACCCTTTTTCATGGGATAGAGACACTACACCTTGGCGAACTTGGCTTGACCTAGATCGAGATCTTGCTGGACTCCCGACTGGTTGCATGTGCGTTGTTTGTTTCCCGAGGGTTGTGCCTGCTTTTGCCGGTATCCTCCATAGACAAGATGTGTTGCATTGCGACTCCGATTAGGTCCAGGGTGCCGGTGAGTATTTTGTGCAGCTCTGTGATTATAAGCATAAGTCCATTTTACCCCTGGCTTTCGATGCTGCTGAGTACAACTACCGGCGCATTGGCCTCAGAGGACCAACAAATGCACAGAAGTTGTTCAAGCCAGCCGAGAGGCTCACAAGGTGCAAAACATCTGTCAAAAGGCAATACGAAAACACCTTGCATTGCAATGGCCGGCGATGCTCGTGTTTTTCAGGGGCTGGGGAAAAGGCTTCTGTTGCTGCCTCGTCCCACATACATACATGCCTATGATGCTCGAATCTACAAGCTGCTTAATCGTTTTGGTCTTGACCTCGCTCGCGATGCAAGTTTGTGGTCGGTGTCTTCGGTGGGTGGCATGACTTGATCCAGGATCGTACGTATGTCGGTCGCTTCTCCAATTCGGTCTCACAGCACTCGCGGGTTCTGCTTCCATGGCATACTAATTGCACCAGGTTATGATGAGCACGTCGTGCTCCTCAGGCAGTGGCCTTACTTGTACGGTGAATTCATTTGAGATGCATGTACTTTTTATGTCAGATCTGGCGTTCTCGCTGAGTCTGGCATTTCTCCATACATAGAGTTCGGAAAAGTCAGCAATGCGATCCCTTTATTGACTTATGGTCCCTGTATAGTTCAAGCGCAGTATGCGCAAACCCCTAGTCCAATTCTCAAGGCCCGGAACTTACAGGCCTCCCTTTTTTTGCCGAGCCAGATCTTGCTTCATCGCAGAGGCAGTAGGGGAAGCCTGGAATTCTCAGCCCCTCTGCATCTCAACCTGAGGCAGCGTGCGCTCAACTCCTACCCGCAAGAGCTTCTAGGGCGGCAAAGCAGACTTCACTCCAGGGAGAGATAAGGGTCGGCTTTGGTTCTCCTCCGGGTGGTGTTGCGTGCGAGCTGACTTGTTCATCTTGTTGATGTCTTTTGCAAGGGAAGTTTACATGCAGCAGGAAGATGGCGGCAAGGAGCCGAGGAGGTTTTTGCGCTTAGATCAGAGTGTACAGTGTGGTGCACGACGCAGCCCAAGGCTTGTGCAGAAGACGCAGCATGCTCTGGTGCGCCGCCTTCCAGTACAGATTCAGCTTCTTGTGCAAGTCAGGTTTGGAACGGCAGGATGCGAAGTTGCAGTTGCCGGCTATCCCCACAACTCTTTGCGATCTTCCTTGGGACAATTTCATGCACGCAGACAACACTAGGCGACACTCCTCTCTGCATTTACCACCTCAGCTTCCCATGCGCCAGTGGTGCCAGACAATCATTGGGTGAAAAGCAGTTCGGTCGGTGTTTCCCAACAGGGTATTTCATCGCTAAGGCATCCGACTTATCGCAGAGAGCCGACACAGATCCTACGCTCATGAGTTCCTTGCGTGCTTTCTCATCGCCCCTGCGCAGCCGCACGAGGGGTACAAGGAAGGAGCTGTGGCCTGAGAGTGGACCAAGCAGCGCTTCTTATCTTCCGTGCTGAAAGTAGTTCTTCTCTTTGCAAGGAAGCGAATAATTCATGTCAAGAGATCCACTAGCATGGCCTTACCGCGACGCCCAAAGCCCGAAGCATTCTCGATACCGCCTAGGGATCTCACGGACTGCATTGTAGAACCTTGAAGCAGTAGCATTATTCTTTGAGAACCTGAATCAGCAGGATCCTCATTGTAAGGACCTTTGAACAAGGTATGCGTGAAGGAACCCTTCTGTAACCTTTGTGGTTCCCCTTGAAGGAACCCTTTTTGCAACCTATAGTATCCCTTAAAGGAACCCTTTAGGGGAGCCCTTAAAGGACCCCTTATAGCAACTTTTGTAGTATCCCTTAAGGGGCAGCTTGCAAGGATCTAGTCGTTTCCTTTAACGGCTGCTCTTCGGTTCTCGGCCGAGACTTCTGCGAGGAGCACTGGGGATCTGGAATGTCGGCACATAAGGAGCCTCATTTCGATATGCATGTATATATTGTATGTATGTACGTATGTATGTATGTATGTATGTATGTATGTACGTATGTATGTATGTATGTATGTATGTATGTATGTATGCATGTATGTATGTATGCATGTGTGCTGTGTGTATATTATACCACACATATATACATGTATTGCAGCAGAACATGCCCAAGTCCTATTCTGCGTGTTTTGGCTGCTGACCTATTTGTCATGTCTTTGTAATTAATAAGCTCTGGTCTCTTCTTTTTCCTCCGTCTTGGCAATCGTGCGGCTCGTTCTGACCATCCTGAGTTTCTCCCGGACATGGGGGTAGTTGCAGTTTGGGGGGGTCTAGTTGCAGGCCCTTAACTTAAGGATCCTACAGTTTAGGGTCTATAGTGGAGTGCCCTCTGTTCCGAAACTTGCATCTCAAGGAAGACCGCGAATATGGAATCCTGCAAAGTACCTACCAATACTACTATCTCTTAGGGTGCCCTGTGACAAGTATTCAGTATAGTATAATGCACACTCAACACTCTATTCTAATCATAATTGGAGCCCCGGTAAAGACGGCCCGGGTGTTTCTGTCGAAGAGGTGGGTTGGACCGGGTTGAATCTGAACTGCTAGTAGCTAAACATGAATGTTGGCACAAGAAGAACCATGGTAACAGCTGGCAGTAAGAGCCGGTTCAAGTATGAATAGCAGCATCTGCTCGCTTGCCATGTTTCTGCTCAACTTGCTCCCCAGCGGTGACGCCACGAGCAGGGGGACTGAACCGACCACCTCTACCACACAAGATCATTGCTGGAGGGGCCAAGTCGAAGGGCTAATTATGTCTCTGCTGTCTGAGTGGACATCACCGAACCGAGCATGGAATGGCAAATCAATTCAGGCTCAAGTCAGCCCAACCTCCCTTGAAGTTGTGCACCAGGACATGTACCAGCGTTACCACGACGAGTAGAGCAGTCTCGCTTCAAAGAAGTTCAGCTGCTGGCTTTGCTCCGATAGTCTTTGGCTGATTTCCAGTGAGACGTTGCGCAGTCTGCTTTGAACGGTTCACATGTTTCCTGCAACTACTCTTTGATGATGACAGCTAGCTAGCTGCTGTTGTTGAGACCTTTTTAGATTGTAGATGCGCAGACACGGAGGAAGTTCGAACTATGAATACAGAAGTTGCCTAAGCGCGAGCAAAGAAGAGTTGCTTTGGCCAGGTCCCTGCGGCGGTTCTGAAGCCTCTGCTGCGATGCAAGTGCGAGCTGCAATAAAGGCGGTCAGGCAGCAAGACGCGTTGGTAATACGACTAGATATTAGTGACAGCACTGTAAGACATGTTGTCGGGAGGGAGGGTTGGGAAAATGCGGCCGGTGGTGAAGCGGCGTATCCACATTATGGGTTCCTGGCTTTGATGCGGACATACGTACAGGCTCAACCACCTGCACCCTCAATGAAGACGTGAACGCTCTCAGCATTCTGCAGGGTACAGACATGAAAAGTTCTTGCTGTGATATATTTGCATGCTAAAAATATCAGTTTGAATTTTGTTGAAGCTCCATGAATACGGATCTTAAGATATACTTCTGATCATAATGTCATTAATTTATTAGAGAAATTTGTGAGATTTGATTATAAGATGATAATTAGATCAATTAATTCCTATGAGATATTGATTTCTGAAGATAAAATTTATTTGATTATTTAATGATACTATCTTTTTCTCTAAAAAAGATTTTCTGCCTTGAAGCAATTTCTCTCATTGATATCAAAAAAATTAGAATGAGAATCGCTTTTTTCAAGAAATTTCTTATCCAAGATTGAATCTACAGAATTCAAAGAAAAATTATTATTTCTAAAAATATTTTATTTCTAAATAATAAGAAGAAGAAGGAGAATTAAATATATTTTTTGATGAATAATTTAGAATTTTCAATATATATCTATATTCAAAAAATATATGACAAAAAAATATTTTAAAAATATATAGTTTTAAATATTGATTTTGATATATAGATATCGGATCAGATATTATATGAAATGAAATTTTAGGATA